GCGGGAGGGAAGGCGGGGCAAGGTGGGGGATTGAAGGCGATACTTGTAAAATGCCATAAGCTTGATTTTGTTTGTGTACTTGTGCATCAACTCCCCGAAAAATATTTTTTCTTCTATCAAACAAACTGTTAGCCTTAAGGTACTCCCTAAATTAGTTTTGCTGTTTATCTTGTTGACTCCATTTTCTTATGATTTCCAAAATACTAGTTTCTCAAAAAACTTGGTGATTGCAAATGGAACTTGGGTTCCAGAAATGAAAAAAAAATAGTTTTTTGAAAATTAATATTGCAGTTTTTGACTCAGTCCAGTTTTCACGAAATGTCTACTTTTCACGAATGGCTTGTTAATTATGGTGATAAGAGCCCCCACTCCTACCAGAGCAGCGGGCAACTGCAGTCTATTGGCGGGGAGTGTTAGCTGCTGGAAAACGGGTCCAGCGTAACCATGAAGTTTTTAGTATGTGCTGCCTCTTCAGGTACTTATAGCCCGCCAGATACTCATCAGAACCCTGGCTACAACATACTTCAAGCCACCACTGGCCCACCATTACTTGGCCCAGCTAAACGTTCCTAGTCGGATGAATTTTGGTGCTCCCATAGTGGCCTATTCGTTTCCTAAATTTGTGGTTTGTTAACAGGCATAACTTCAGGAAGTACTGGTGGTTTAAGAATCCCCAGTGGCACACGGAACCAATTCAAATCCATCAGTGCAAGCTCAGATGGGGGGAAGGGATCAGGAAACCGATCAGGAGTCTCAGATCTCAAGGAAGCCCCTGGCTTGATGTCGAACCAGTCGTGGAAGCTAATCTGGTGCTTGGTCAGGGTAGTGGTTGTGTTTAAACCACCAGTACCTTTCCCATATAGCAGCTGCGGGCAGAAAAAAAAAGGCCCTAAAGGGATAACCGCCGGCCAATGAAATTTATCAACGGCGGCCCAACGCGGCCCGTTCCTGCCTGGCTTCCGAATACACCGGCGCAGAATTGGTTTGGCGCGGAATTGGTTTTCAAGCGGGGAAAGGTACTGGTGGTTGAAGAGGCATAACTGCATGATATGATTGGATGTTATTTCAATTGGTGTGTGGCCGTGTCCTGACACTCATACACTGAACTACACATCTGATCGATCTGCCATGTCAAACAGCATCAGCCAGGTGAAGGACACCTTTTTTCCAGCGCCCTGAGGTTGTTCATCGGCCCTACACCAAGCTTTTGGCAGCAGCTCTGAACAACGTGAAACTTCTTCACATCTTCTCGCTAAGGTTATAGCATCCGGTTCAGCATCTCTGCGGAACTGGAAGTGCTTTGTTGCCACTTGACCACGAGTCCACGACAGCCTGATAATATGGACATAGGCCACTTTCAAATCCGTTGGCTCTTGGGGGTCATGCTTCTCAATAATATAATAATTGTGGATCCCTTTGCCAGCTCCGCAGTGGGTGCTGAAGGTGTTGTAGCTGGACTTTGCAATGGCGATGCCAGTGGCCAAGGGTGCAGAAAGAACGCCAATCTTGATGGGGACCACATCTGGGAATCCAAGGACGCTCTCGGGAAGAGTGGATGGCCCAGCGCTGGGCGAGAACTCCAGGATTGGAGCCTCTCCCTGCAGGTATACGAAGCAGGGCTACTTGTAGATGCTGGCAACGTGCTGGAGTCTGCCGGCTATAAGCCTAACGTGGAAATTGAGGACGTATTTGTTTCTGGCAATGGCACAAACGTCCTGTTTGTAGAATGCAATTTCACATCCGGTGCTCTCTATTCCTGTCATGCGAAGAGAGCAGTGTTGCCCCCAGACGGGGGAAGCTACACAATCCACCACATTGCTGGCCCGTGGCTGTACGCAAGCCCTTCCACCATAGAGGGGATCTTGCTCGTTGATGAGACTACCTTGCTAATTGCGGACTCCGGAAATAATGCTGTAAAGAAGGTGGACATAAGGACAAGGGATGGAACTAACTTCACAACAGGGGAGAGTTTACCTAAGCCATTGCGCCTAACCAAGCATCCAAGCGAGCAGGTTGTCTTCGTATCATCAGTAGATCGCATCTATAAGGTGCCGTTGGAATATAAGACCGAATCTATCCCACAAGTAATTGCGGGAGACTCTGGGCAAGGCTACAGTGATAGCACCACAGGTGCCACTGTCCGGTTCTCTATGCCAAGAATTGGAGGCAGATCCATTTCTGGGAATGGGAGCGCATTGTATGTTGCTGATACGTTGAACCATCTGATTCGACAAGTGAATACTGCCACAGGAGCCACAAGGACGCTGGCTGGAAATCGGAATGGAGTCTATCCCTGGACCATCCGAGATGGTCCCCCGAATATGGCCAAGTTCAGGGAGCCTCGTGGTGTTGCGGTAACGGCTGATGGATGTAACCTCTTCACTGCAGAGTATGATGGAGGTGTCATCCGATGGGTGACCCTGAAGGACCCTGATGGAGGTGTTATTGATGTAAAGACCGTGGCAGCGTTAAGAAGTGCTTCCAACTCCTCCCTGTCAGGAAGGTTTACCTCCCTGACACTCTCAAATGATGATCGATATCTGTTTGTAGGAACAAACGACGATAGGGTCATAAAGTTGGAAGTGAAGGCTTCCGCTCTCCACAGCTGCATACCTGAGAGCTCACGTTCAAAGAGTGGCAGTGGCAGATCCTTTTCGACTAGTAAGCGCAAAAGTGGCTGCTACCACTTATTGCTATCCTTTCTGGTCTTTGCTGTTTTATTTTGACATTCCTAATGATATTATGTGGAATTATAGATAACTGCAACAACAGACTGCGGCAGATGCTTGCAATTGTTGTTGCTATTTCTGGTCGTGCATTCTTTTATGGGCTCATAAAAGGATGCAATGAACCGTAATACTCCACGTAGGAGCCCCTCAATTGGTTCAACACTTCACTGTTCAAGTGAAAACTTTAAGTTGTAAGAGAGTGGTTTTGTGACCAAAACAGGACCAGTTCTACATTTTGCATAGCCATAACGGCTGGGCATCTGCAGCAAAGAGTGGTGAAGAATGGTGACGTGAAGAAGTGTAGACTCTCTATGGGAGCATCCCCGAGTCATTAAAGCCTAGCCACCGATGGTTGGCAACTTGGCATTGATCTGTCAGACAGTTCGGCTTGCAAGGTGCAGATTCTCGAGTGTGCTGTGTACATCCGTTACACATTAAAGGGAATAGACTGAATAGTGGGTTGAGTGAGGCCGCAAAAAGTATGCTGTCTTCTGCTCTACCTTGCTCTCACCCTATGACATTGTACCCCTCCGCAGGTTGTGTGCCGCCGTGGCAGGTGACGGAGGGGTGGAGATTGGATTGGCTTCTCAGGAGTGCGAGCAGAGGAGTTTGATGGCGTAAGACATTTAATCATCAGTGCCCTAGGGATGCCATGCATTGCCACATGAAGCAAACTTGCAGGTTCACAAGAGTTGCTGATCCGCACACCCCGATTCTCTGCGTTCTCAAGGATGGTGATGTCGGGGTATGATGGCACATGAGACTGATGATGTTCTGTGTGGGTGGGAGCAGTGGAGCGGGGCACTGCATTTCCTCTTGGTGGCGGCCATCATCATCATCATCATCATCATCATCATCATCATCATCATCATCGATTGATAAGGTTTGTGTTTGGCAGGAGTTGGTGATGTCGAAGTGATGGGAGTCATGTTAAAGGAGTGATGGGCTGCTCTTCACCCTTTTCAGTGATGATGGACAGGGCACCATCTGGTCCTCGTCCTTCTTCTTCACTCATTCTGAAGAGCTGTGGATTTCTCTCCTCCCTTTCGGGGATGATGAAGAGAATGCAATCTTATACTTATCCCAGACTTCTTCTTTACCGCCTTCACCTCTTCCACTTGCTTGATCAATTCGTCCTCCCTCTCCTCTTCTTCCTTGATGATCCTCTTCCGAGCCTCTGCCTACTATCACTTTCTTTGCAGATATACCTTCCCCTTCCCAAGGGGATGGATAGATGTTTCACAGAAGGGAAGGGGGAAGGAGGTGTGGTGGTTAGAGGGAAGGAGAGGTAGACTAGGGACGACTGCTGGGGGAGAAATGGAGGAGGATGGTCTGCTGCGGTTGTTGTCCTTCCGCCGAGGAGTCCGAGCAGTGCAAAGGCGGGAGAGGATCCTATCCAGAACGGGGGTAGGGATGGATTTTCTGGGAGTGGGGGGAGGATGAGGAGATTTGAGGAGAGGAGAAAAGCGTAGGATACTAAGGATAGCCGCATTTTCTGGGAGTTGGGGGAGGTGAGGAGATTTGAGGGGAGGAGAAGATCGTGTGATAGCGGTCCCCTTTGGCAAGTTTTCTAGGAGATGGTATATTCTTATGGTGAAGTTTCTGTTTAGACTTTTCCTTTAGTCACTTTAACTCACTTAGGGCCTACTCATACCAGGACCTTTCTACTTATTTATGGGCAATTATGGTCACATGCATACACGTCCCGAGCCTACTCTACCCGACTATCCTACCTACAGCTGGTTCACGCAACAGGCTCACTTCAACTCTCGAAGACCAATGTACATGACTGTCAACACCATAGCCGACCTCTCTTCATGCACCAGGTACGTATCTCGTTACCCTCAGTCATACCTTGATTACCCCACACTACGCCTCCTTCCCTGAAGACCACCAGATCACCCCCTGTACCCCCTGGCGCCCAGCAGCCCGGCTATGGCCGCCTGCGGCCCTGCAGCACCCCACTTCACCTCTATGCACCCCGTCAGCGCCCTTGGCAGCAGTGCAGCAGCACTTCCGCATTGGCAGCACTGGCCAGAATGCCTGGCCTGGACTGCCCTACTCTTGTGGAAGTGGCAGCCTCCTCGATGTCGCGTGTGGCCTGGCTGGAAGCTTCCAGTAGCTTCCGGTTGGGCCTAGGCGTCCTAGGCAGTCCAGGCGTTTCCCCCCTTGTTAATTAGTATATTGTTCCTATGCTTTTCTGATCGCTTTTTTTCGAGTCTGCAACATCTGTTGCTATGCTCTAGCCATACCTCAGACCCTGCGCCCAGGCCCGAGACTACAGTTGAGGGCCTGGGCCCTTTACAGTTGGGCACGGCCTGAGTCTCCGGACTTGGGCTGTTTGCTGCATCTGTGCAGGGCTCCCAGGCAGGTGCGTCGGCAGTACTGCTTTTGCCAAGGCCGATGGCCTGCTTACCAATGTGTCGGCCCTGCCTTGTGTGTATGTGCCCAGGCGCAACTGTCTAGGCCTGGGCCAACTGTATGACGCAGCTTTGTGAGGCTCACGTGTCTACCCAACCAACTGTCGTGCTGCGAGAGCCTGAATACCCACAGATGAAAATGTCGAATTTTGCCTCTGACGAATATTCAGGCCCGCCTTCACTTAGGGCGGGCACTTGGCTTGCTGGGGCCTTAGCCCAGATCATATGATGTCTGATAGGGCCCCTTGAGGGCTCTTTCCTCACATTAGGGGGGGGAACCAATTAATCAATCAATCAATCAATCAATCAATCAATCAATCAATCAATCGAAAAACAAAGTCAGCCAATCAAGAAAAAAAAAAAAAAGCCAACCACAGTTCAGCCAACTCTCGACAGAACTCAGAACCAATATCTCCCCGCCTCACAGTTCCTCTGATGTCTCAACCCGCTCCCTGTTCTGTGAACTCAGATTTACTACTACTGCTAATCTTAGTCTGATCTCTTTGTGTGTGTGTGTGTGTGTGTGCTGTCTCTTATACACATCTAGATGTGTATAAGAGACAGGTGTGTGTGTGTGTGTGTGTGTGAGAGAGAGAGATGCTGGGTGGGAAAAGGGACGGAACCCTCCTATCGCTCGCCAATCTACCATCTTGGAATGCATCTGAAAGACCGCCAAACGGACTCATCTGTATTTTTCATGAATGGGGAACGGTGTGACTAGACCCTCAGCTTACTTCGGGGTGACCAACTGTGATTTGCGGAAAATGTGTATACTTAGAACCGTAACGATCTATCTCAGAGCTCAGGCATCACATTAGCGACATTGATGTATTGGCATGTTGAATCTTCATTATAATAGATGGAGCATCTGTCTTCACTCAAATAGAACACAGGGATCACAACTCTAAAGAAGGTAAGACCTCAATGCCCCCCCTGCGTGGTGTAATGAGCCAGTTTATAAAAAAAAAAGATGACCGAGCATTCTACTTGCTAGAGACGGTGAAACCTCAATGAGGGCATGCCTGGTGTAACCTCAATGAGGGCATGCCTGGTGTAACGAGGCAGTCTAACAAAAAAAAGGAAAAAAAACGAAAAAAAAAGGGGGCGGGCGGAGAAGAAGAAAAGGGGAGAAAAGAAACTACATTACAGTGCGACTCTCTGATCAAAGCAGACCATCTATCTCAGGGCTCAGTAACATCACCCTGATGCCCTGATGGAGCGGATGTTGCCCCGTTTGTCATTGAATGTTTGTTTATAAATACAAAACCCAATCATCATCACAAATTTGAAGAAAAATCCTAAGTACAACTTTTACAAGGAATATGTTAGTCGTCAGCGATAGACAGAAAACCAAGTTGCAAAATCGCGAAGTAGTCCAGATAGTCATGTCAAGCAGAGAGCTGAAAATGCACCAAGATATCATCCAAATAAGAGCAATACAAAGAACTGAAGTGCCAATGCCGACGCTCTCTGGTCACACCAACAACTGTCTCGCGCTCAGCGCCCGGCCTACTCTACTTAACATAATCTATCTACGTTCATGCGACTTGATCACACCGAAGTCGAAGACCAATGTACGTGATGTCAACACCAATGTCGACCACCAGCATACACCAGGTACATTCTCTCTCCTCTCGCCATCACCCCTCTTCTCTCTACATCATGCGCCTCCTACCCGAAGACCACCATCGCCATTACCCGGGTGTGCCCAGCTGCACGGCTATGGCTGCTATGCGCCCGCTGCTCCAGTAGCGCCCTCTCTCACCATTGCGTGCATCCAACCAGCAGCGCCCATGCAGACAGCGCAACAACATGTCTGCATTTCCTGCAACGTATTGCAAAGAACACCTAACCACCTCTACAATACAGAGCTCCTCCCCGACTCGGTCGGTCGTTCAAGAGAGAGAGAGAGAGAGAGAGAGAGAGAGAGAG